TCCCAGAAAAAAACAGTACCCCATGAGCACTGCTCCTCCATCCTGCAGGAAGCTCAGCTTATCTCCTACTCCTCTTCCTGTTCCCTTTCAACTGACTTTCACTATCTCTCCAGTTACCTCACTCATTGATTTCAGATTCCCTCACGATATCCTAAGCTATGACATGTTATAATATGATAAGAGAAGAGATAGTATAATTCTTCTGAGCCACGTTGGACAGGGATTAAGTGTTTGGACTGACATGTCAGATTTAGACAGACCTCACTGCTTTAGAGATTTCTGACAAATCAGAGCAGGGGCCAGGATTCAGAATACGAGGACTGTTAATCCCAAAGGCAAATTTACTAAGCATCTACTGTGTTCCAGTCGACGGGCCTAGATGAGTAGAAGATGGAGCTAAAATAAATCATTTGCTATGTGTCTCTATATAAAGAATTTAATGCTGAGCCTATAAGTGTACCATGGTAATCTACTATAAAACATACGGTAAAAAGTGATACAAATGAGTTCAGAGGAGGGGATTTCTTTGCCCAATGAGACAATGGATGTGACCCTCCTATGGAGAAAGGGGTCTTCTAGACAAAAGAGATAATGTTAACAAAGCAAAGGGACAGTAAAGCCAAAGTGGATTAGGGAAGTGAGGAGTAACACAGGCTGCCTGAGCTCAAGGTACATGGGATGGAGGGGTGAGAGATAATAGTGGGGGAGCTGAGGCCAGATTTGAGGGGAGGGGAGGGGAGGGATAAGGCTTTGACTTTTAGATTTCATGTCTAATGCCATTTTAATTAGGTCATTTCCTTGCTCTAAACTTGCACTGGCTCCTCCTTGCTGGACAAATACAGGAAGAGCCGGTGGCTGTGTAGGAAGTAGACGCTGATTATATGGGGCTAGGATGAAAGAGAAAGATGAGCTCCAGCCACACAGTTTGAAAACTCCAATAAAGAAATTGGATTCTATTTCCTAATATGTTAAATAAAGCTGTCAATCCAATCAAGGCTGCTCAGTTGAATATTCATTACAGGCCCAGTTAAGACACTGAATCCCTCCTCCCCACTCCTGACTGCCATTCTTATTCTCATGTTATAATGATTCCGTAGTTACAGATCTTAAGATTCTCACGGAAATAAGCACAAAACAGGTACCTTTTGGCTATTGGGCCAACTGTAGGACTGGAAATTCAATGACTTAATGTTCCAGTGAACTGGTTGTGTCACTAGGAGCTTGGGGCTACTTGCTTGCCCTTTTTGTAATATTTCACATATGGGCATAATTGCATTGTTTCTTTCAAGGGAATTGTTAAGAGCGCTGACAAAAACACTTGTGTACAGAACCCAACGCTGGCTAGAGACTTAGTGTCAATACTCAGTAAGTTGTTGTTCTACATAGTTGTTTGAAGCATTTATTTCTGAGGTACAGATGGTGATGTTTATGGCTAGTACAGTTCTTCTAGACTCATTTGAATTTCTGGCCATTGTCAAGAACCAAGTTTCTATGAGTTACAATTATGACTAAAGAAATTGAAATTCATTTACTGTTTCTCAAACAGGAACCAAAAAAAAAAAAAAACCCTCTATTTAAAAGAGTTTCTCTTATCATTGAAGAGGTTGATTCCTGAGGTATTGGCCTTGCATTTATAAGGTTGACATAAGAATCTCCTGAATTTTAACATGGGTAGATGAATACATTGTACCTTTAATATTAATATTAAAGTTAGTTTTATAAAGGCTTCTCAACCCAACAAGGTACAAGGGAAAAGTTGCATACACTGAAATGAATTTGCTAGTCAAGAAGGCAAATATGGATACTTTTAAAGGGGGCATTTCTTTCCCCCTATCCTAAGCCTGCTGGTAGAGCAGTAGCTCTCTCTGTGTTTACTCTACAAAAAAAGCCCCGATAAAGTCTGGGGATCCCCAATAGCAGGAATGCTGGTGGGAAGAAATCACTTAAGAACTCTCCATTTCTCTGGTCTGTTAGCGTTGATGGGCAATGCAATCAAGACAATCCCTAATGTGATTTATTGTTTTCCTATTACACAAGCTAGTTTTGTCCCTCATCCCATCTGGCTCCTGAAGTTCATCAAAGTGACTATCCGGGTGGAAAATTCTTTACACAGTCAATTTTAAAGGAGCCATATGGATGGAGAGTAACATTACCCCTAATAAATAACTCACTGATAATTAGTTCTCAAAAGAAAGTTTTAACTCTCATGGGCTATTAGCATTTCATGTTAAATTCTCTAGGACTTTGTGAATAGTTGAATGCTTTGATCCTATTGGAAATATCAACCCCTTGTTTTCCATTCCAGCTGTCACAATCCTTAGTACAAGAAAGAGGAGGGTTGAGGTTGCACAGGAAGGAAGGTGGGGATCACATACTGTACACCTTAACAGGGAGTCCCTTGGGCAGAGGAGATCCAACATGCTCAAATCATCATGCCCTTATCCCATGTACATCCCTCAACCCTCCTTCTTTGTTATCATAATTAAATATAAATCATCCCCTTAGAGTCAGTCATTCAAACCCCTAGTTTGGAAAATTTCCCCAACCCCTATTACCAATCTACTGCTAAACCTTATCTTTTTTACCTCTTAAATATCTGTCGGTACTACTCTTTTCTCAACCCCCTTTGCCTTCATTGATCACCTGGTATTCTTAACCTCACCCCTAGAGAAGGTCAGGAGCAAGTCCAGGGCTCAGGGGAGATATAGTTTCATTATTCCTGGAGCTAGGGAGCACTGGGTATGTGGTTGGCAAGACTCACCCAAGGTGATAGGAGGTGGAAGAGGCTAAAGGGAAAGCTAAGATCCACATTTTGGAAAGAGAGAAAGTATCAAAACCCATGTGTCTTGGTGGAAGAGGGGATGAGGTTATAGGACTGTTGCTGATTACTCAGTATTTAAACTTTACACTTACGACAAGAATGTGATGGCCCAGTGGACACCAGTAGGCAGCTTGGAATTGTAAACTTGCAAATCAAGCCTCTGGTCTCAACAAAACTAATTAAAATTCATAATTATTTTATTTGTCCTTTTCTTTTCTCACATCTCCACTAAAATCTCAGCTTTGAGTCAGGGACTCTTCTATGTGTGTCACCATTATATGCCCAGTGCTTCCCACAATACTTTAAGCATGAGAGACACCATAAAATATTTGTTGAATAACCACATGAATTGGTCTTGAATACTGAAAATCTAATCTCATCACTTCAATGTTTAAGCATTCTTTAGTGATCAAGACTTTAGATAAAATAAATCCAGAATCTTCAGTTTAGCATTAAGCAAATAAACAAAAAAATAAAACATTTGCTTAGTTCAGGTTAGTTTCCCAGTGAGTAACTTAGCATTTCCTCCCTCCTCTCCCTGTAAGGAGGGCCAGTTTCAATCACAATACACTACTTAAGGCTTTTTGCACGCATCGTATTCATTAATATCTTTCTTAATAAGAACAGCAGTTCGGAAAACATTTTTTTTTTTTTTTTTAGGAACTAAAAAAGGAATTTGTTTATTGAGGGTAAGAGGATGCAATAAGCAATATAAAAATCAAAAGCTTATCTGGCTTTCTTTTACTGACTTTTCTTTCTCTGCTTCTCAGATGGGAGTTGGATTTTATTCGTACATTTTCTGAGGGTCCTGATCTGCTCATGAAATACTTTATACAGGGGGAAGCTGTGGGGCAGATTCCTTGAGACCCTTTGGGACACCTCACTCCGGGCGGAGTGTTGCTCAATGCTGCCTATTTCTTGCCCTTCTGCTTCATGTGTATTACAAAATAGTCATTGCATGCAGAAAACTTATCCCAATCTTATCCCTGGCCTTGGTAAAGTAAGAAGACAGTGATGGTGAATTTTGTGCCAACTTAGTTAGGTTATGGTGCCCGGTTGTTTGGTCAGACACCAGTCTAGATGTTGCTATGAAGATCTTTTTTTTTTTAACATATAATTAACATTTAAATCAGTAGACTTTGAGTAAAGCAAATTGCCCTCTGAATGTGATTAGGTTTCATCCAATAGTAGAGAATTTAAGAGTAAAGATTGAGGTTTCCCAAAGAAGAAATTCTCCCTGAGGCTACAACACAGAAACACTGCCTAAATTTCCAGCCTGTGGCCAGCCCTACAGACTTCAGACTTGCTAGGCTTCCCAACCACAGCGGACAATTCTGTAAAATCAATCAATCCATCAATCTTTCTCTCTTCCCTCACTCCATATATCTATGTATATATGTAGAGAGAGATTATGTGGAGAACCTATACTGATACAGAGGCTTTCTATTTTAACTTCTATATCTAGAACTTAGCAGAATGAGTCAATTAAAATTTAAATCTGGCATGAAATCACTCTCCCTTTATAGAAGAGGGCTTTGCAGTGCAGAGATAGTCAGCTCATGGTGGGGAAACACTAGTGAGGTTAACTGACACCCTGTCCCCAGCGTATCCCTGAACAGCCTCTCCCATGCCCACCGTGACTTGATCATCTGAAGCATAATAAAAAATATTGAGGAAAATATGCATTTTATGAGTCCATTCTTTCTGTTTTGAATGCGTATTTCAACCCGCACTGCAAGCCTTGTGGATTGGAAATGGCTGGGGGTCCTCTGTCCTCCTGGAAGGAGGTAGCAAAATCAGCTGTTCTTCTAGAGTGCCCAAAAAATGGAATGCCTTTCCCTGTGCATCCCATCTCATCCCTTTTTGTGTGTGGCCTTTAATTTTTGAATGACTGCTGAGTCACCGAAAAAGACCTCTCCACACCAGTTGCTTTGGCCTGCTTGTCATTCAATCTCTGGTCTAAACAAACCTCAACCTGTCCTCAGTGAGGTAAGTAAGCACATGACTGGAGCTCTAGACAAGGATTGTTGGCCTCCGGCTATTTTTCTGGTGCTTACTGGACTTCTTGCATTTACGCTGGAAAATGCCAGATCATTCCCAGCAGGTATGGCAGACAGTAGGCACTGGTAAATATTTACTGAAAATCTCCACCAATGAAATGCACACCGAGAGTTCTTACCGACATGCACCTCTTGCTTGGGCTCCTCCCTCTGAGTATTGTCCTCCTCCATCAGGGTCTTCTGCTGAATCTCAAAGGAGAAACTTGGATGGATGCCAGCCTGTACTCAGTGAGAAAAGAAAAGTACCATGACTGGGAAGCCACGGCGACCTCTGAAAACCAAAGGTCAGCAGAGCTAACTAACATCTGGGGAATGCTAACTGCTATTGAATTTGGAAAACATACATCCTGGATCATTTATAATCCCCCTGCTGACTATCCTTTAGAATGACAAATTTAAACCCCATCACCACCATCCACCACCAACAAAAGTTCACTTTTGGGTAGAATTGTTACAGACTTAAAAAAACAGATGTCAACAAGAGTATGGTCAATACTTAGAAGAATCCATTTTCAGCATAGTTGTTTCAGCTTGGATTTTGTTGTCACTTATTTTCTACGTTTTGTCCCATGTTTTGCGAGACATTCTGTTAGGTACTTTGTCTTTATTATTTCTATTAATTCTTACAAAATCTCATATTATAGAAAAAAAAACACACAATGTCTTTGTTCTTAAGAGTTCCTCAAGGAGGGATGCCTGCGGAGCTCAGTCAGTTAAGCGACTGCCTTCGGTTCAGGTCATGACCCCAGGGTCCTGGGATTGAGCTCCACCTCAGGCTTCCTGCTCAGTGGGGAGCCTGGTTCTCCCTTTCCCTCTGACCGCCCCTCCCCCACCCCAACTTGTGCTCTCTATCTCAAATAAATAAATAAAAATCTTAAAAAAAAAAAAAAAAAAGGAGTTCCCCAAGGAGCTCCTGACTTTAAGTCGGGCCTTTCTTTAGCTCTCAAATGAGTCTAATGTTCTCTGCAGACTCAGAGGTGCCCTACAATGCCAAATATTTCTCATCCAATTTTCACAGTGACTCTAAGACTAAGCATTTTCATTCCCATTTCACAGATGAGAGATGGAAAGCTCCGGAAGAACAAGAGAGTTATAAAAAGTCACATAACCAATAACGCATATTACCTTGTAAGGTTAACAACCCTTATCTACCATTCAGATGCTGAGAGAGTAACAGGTTTTGCTTCAATTGTTCTTGGTATGTTAAGGAGGACGGGTTTTAATGGTGAGGCAGAAAGATCGTTTAGAGGTCTATATGATATTTCTAGGGAGAGATATTAAGAAACCAAAATAGGGCATTTGTTTAAGACAATAAGGTTCAGACTGTAATATACATATAGATATAGAAATAGGCACAGGCCTAGAGATAGATACAGATATCTTACCAGCACAAGGTAACTTAAGAAAATTTGTTGGTACTGGAATGTGGGTACAGGGAGAGTCTGGTGTGATTTTGGTAGACGATGGTGCCATTATCTAAGAATGTAAATAAAGGAAGTGGAGCAGATGTAGAGTGAGGAAGGGAATTCAATCTTAGATGTGTTGATTTGGAATATGTCAGTAGAGCATCCAAGTAAAGTGCAGGGTAGAGACTATGGCTAGTGTTGGAAATTTGGATGGTCAGATCATGAGAAGTTTTGCTTTTTCTAAAATGGGAGGGAGTAAGCTAAGTTGGTTTATATGCTGAGAGAAGACAGAGAGGGCAATGGTAAAGATCTAGAAGAGAGGGAGATAAAGTGATGGAGCAAAGTTGTGGGAGAGAGTGAGGACTGAGTTAAGAACCCAGTTTGAGGGGATCCCTGGGTGGTGCAGTGGTTTGGCACCTGCCTTTGGCCCAGGGTGCGATCCTGGAGACCCAGGATCGAATCCCACGTCAGGCTCCCGGTGCATGGAGCCTGCTTTTCCCTCTGCCTGTGTCTCTGCCTCTTTCTTTTTCTCTCTCTCTCTCTCTGACTATCATAAATAAAAAAATTAAAAAAATTTTAAAAAAAAACCCAGTTTGAGGGTTGGCCTTGACTAGAAGAAGTGGTCCTCCTTTCAGAAGAGCACATAAAGGACGATGCCCACATGGCTCAATGACTATGGCAGGAAGCAATAAGAGTCAAGAATTTTTACATGCTGAGGGCGTCATGGTTGTCAGTGAAATACAAAGCCAGCTCTCCCATGGAAGGTCCACCAGCTTGAGCATTTTTGTAGGAGATAAATGCTGAAATATAGTCTGCCATAAGTTATATTAAAAATAAGCCTGTAAAACTTCGTGTTATAAATAATGCCATAAGAAAGGGAAAGACAACCCACAGAATGATAGAAAATATTTGCAAATCATACATCTGATCTGGAACGTGAAAGGACTCTTAAAATTCAAAATGGTCACAGGATCTGAATTTCTCTAGAGAAGATATACAAATAGCCAATAAGCAGGTGAAAAGATGTTGAACATAATTAATCATCAGGAAAAAAACACATCAATAACACAATATGATACCACTTCATACCCACTGGGGTGGCTTTAAGGAAAAAGACAGATAAATACAAATATTGGACAGGTTACTCGCAAGGAGCTTGTGGGAATGTAAAATGCCACTTTGGAAAACAATGTGGCAGTTCCTCAAATGGTTAAACACAGAGTTGCCATAAGTTCCAGCCATTCTACTTGTAGGCCTGTATCCCAAGGAAATGAAAACATATATTCACATATAACTTACATACAAATGTTCACGTCATCATTATTCGTAAGAGCCAAAAAGCAGAAACAACCCATATGTCCTCCAACAGGTGAATGGATAAATGAAATGTGGTATATCTGTATGATGGGATATTATTTGGCTGTAAAAAGGAAAGGATGCTCCAACACAGACAAACCTCAGAAATACTATGCTAAGTGAAAAAAGCCAGTCACAAAAGACCACATCTTATACGATTCTATCTATATAAAATGTTCTGAATAGGCAAGTCTATAAAGACAAAGTAGATTGGTGGTTGCCTAGAATTGGCTGTGGGGGGAGCCGGGGGTTGGGTGGGGTGGGGGGTGGGATAGGAAATGATTGCTAATGGATATGGGTTTTCTTTTGGGGGTTAATGTAAATGTTCTAAAATTAGATTGTGGAACACTCTGAAACATATTAAAAACGATTAAAGTCTATAATTTAAACTGATTAATTTATGGTATAGGAATTACATTTCAGTAATTTGTTTTAAAGAAAGAAGCTCAAGGTCTGAGGAAAGGACTATGGACAGAGACAAGACCTAAAGAACACTGTTGAAGACCAGATAATAATAATAATAGCCATGTCGCCTGGGGATTCATGAACCAGGCATTGTGCTAAGTGTTTGACCTGCATTAGCTCCTTTAATCTTTGCCACAAACACCTATATGTTAGGTACGTTTTCTTATTTTGCAGACAATATAATTAAAGTTCAGAAAACATAAGGAACTTGTCCAAGGTTGACAGCAAGAAAGAGACAGAAACAAAATATATGGACTGTGTCTGTGTCTCTTTCTCAAATACCTGTTTCCCACAAATGTTGCTCTTCTACTTAGCTCCAAGTTTCTAGGTTTGGCAAAAATGCCAGTGTCTTTAGGCCAATCTCTTTTTCCCTGGCACTCCCACAGCATTTTGTGGGAGCCCTCGACCATCTGAGAGCATTTTGTGGGAGCCCTCGACCAATAGATAGCATTTTCATCCCTGCCATCCAAATAAAGGGTTATAAAATAAATGTGTCAGTAACAAAGAGTTGTAGAGTAAACACATCAATAAATTAGCACTATCCTTACCTCCTCCTCACTCAGGAGTCTTAGAGGCAGGGCTACTACCTTGTCCAGGGTGGTTTCCTGATGTGCAGGACACTAAGAGATAAAGGAGCCAGGAGCTCAGCCCAGAGAGACTATATCTCTCCTTTCCCCTCCATTCGGAGAGGTCTGAGTGAGAGGAAAAGAACAGAAGCCAATCTTGACTCCTAGGCAGAGAAATAATGCCCCTACCTATTTATTGCCTCTCGAGATGCTTCTCTCCGGTTTTGAGATCTTGATGCTACCTCTCAGCTTTCCTCACCGATTTAACTGCAGATATACATGAAGTAGTCCCTGGCATGGACTAGAGTCTCAAGAAATTGTATCTTCTTTTTCCATTCCTTTCACGGTCCTCCCTCCTGGCCCCACTTGGCACTCAGCAAGTGCAAACTATTCACATACAAACCTCTGGTATAGTATGGGGTGGCTGTAGAGGCAGAGACAAAATACACACCCAGCTCACTGAGCTGCTCAATCTCCTCTGTGCTCAGTAATCGTAGCAAAATGCTGGGGACTATTTAAACCGAGACATCGAGTGTCTATGGAAACCACGACATCTCTTCACGTATATTCCAGCACCACTTCCTTTATAACGTGAGCAGCAACAGAAGAAAAATATTTGTAATAAAACATTGCAGTGCTGTTGTGAGCTTCCATTGTGCCAGGCTTTGGGCTGCAGATTTTGCAGATGTCATTTAGCCCCCACCTAATTTATTGTGGTGGGTTCACCCAACGGACATATGAGAAAACAGAAGGTAGGAGAGAAGAAAGAACTTTTCCCAGGTCACAAAGTCAACAAAGGGGGCCAGCAGCCTTCAAAAGGTGTGACTCTGAAGTCAGATCTCTCCATCTCCCCATTACCCCTGTCTCCCACAACTTTTCCGTTGTCACCAAGTGCCCTTGGTGGAGACTGCTTTGCTCCAAGCAGCATGGAGGAACGTGATCCTAACACTTGAATACTTTTGCAAGCAATCATCCAATGTCAATGCAAAAACACAGATTAATTATTCAAAAACAAATATCACATTAAGAAAATATACCATGACCAAGTGAGATTTATTTCGGGGATGCGAGGATGATTCGGTGTTAGGAAATTTAGTAATATAAACAAAAAATTAGTAGAAGTAAGAGGAATAATTATGGGATTATGCCCTATAGGAAAAAAAAAAACTTTTGACTAAAAACTTTCTGATAAAAACATTCAAGAAAATAAGAATGTATGCATATTTCCTGACCAAAACACCTCGGCCCTAAAACCAGGGCCTTAATGAACTTAATGTACTTAATGAAGAAATACTAGAGACATTTCCACTAAGATTAGGAAAGAGTCAAGAAGCTTACTATGTATACAAATCTTGCTATCTCCACTACTACTCTTGCACATCGTTCTAGATATATTAGCCAGCACAATTTAAAAAGACAGAACAGT